TGTGTGTGAATTATATATCAGTTAAAGAGGAACTAGGATGGGTTTTTTTTTCTAGGAATAGTTTAATATTAAGGCACCTTAAAAATTTAATTCACCATATAAAAAATAAGGGAAAATAACCAAGTCGTCCTCGTAATAGATGCAGGAAAAAAAAACAAAAACAATTTTATCATTCAATATCCACTCACAATCAGGAAGGGAAAGGAATTTCCTTAACAGGATAAAGGTTAACTATCAAAATTCTACAGTAATCTACACAATTCTTAATGGCGGCACCTTAAAAGTTCCTTTTAAATCAAGATCAAGTCAAAGGTGCCTATGAATAGCATTTCCATACGCCATTGTCTGGGAGTCCCAGCTCATCCAGTTAGGTGTTGAATGCACAGGGAGAGGCCTGATAACATCTGGCTTTTAGATGGATGTAGCATCCTTCAGTTTAGAGAACTTTATGACTTTCATATGTTACAACAAATATTTTGCATGTATCACATATCAATTTTAACTATTGTAGGTTTTTTTGTCAGGCATTTAAAGAATGAGCCAGAAAATATGGTCTTAAATCAAGTTCTTTTATTTATTTATTTATTTATTTATTTATTTATTTATTTATTTATTTATTTATGAGAGACAGAGAGAGAGGCAGAAGAAGAAGCAGGCTCCCTCCCTGTGGGGAGTCCGATGTGGGACCTTATCACGACCTGAGCCAAAGGCAGATGCTCAAACACTGAGCCACCCCGATGCCATGCCCCAAGTTCTTTTTTTTTAAGATTTTATTTATTTATTCATGAGAGGCACACACACACAGAGAGAGAGAGAGAGAGAGAGAGAGAGAGAGAGAGAGAGAGGCAGAGGGAGAAGCAGGCTCCATGCCGGGAGCCCGACGTGGGACTCATCCCAGGTCTCCAGGATCACGCCCCAGGCTGCAGGCGGCGCTAAACCGCTGCGCCACCAGGGCTGCCCAAAGACCGCTCTTTTACCCCAGGAGGAATAGGATCATAGACGAGGGGTGAGCCAGGAGTTGGTGACACAGTGAAGACGGCTAGATTGGACCCTTCTTTCTCCAGGCTTCCCACGAGCTCTGCCCTGGATGCCTCTGGGTTTCTGGTTGGGGGACCCAGGTTGGAGATTAAGGAAGGGGGTGAGGCATCAACGAGGCCCCTACCCTGACGGCAGTGGCGCCAGGATCTACCCTCGCCCTCGGGGCTAGCGTGCCCGCCGCTGAGAGCCTCCCTTCCCTGCCTCCCCACACCCGGCTCCTGGACTCTTCATTGCCAGGGCGGGAGATCGCCGCCAGGGGGCGCGCCTCGCCTCGTCGGTCGCCGGCTCAGCCAGCTGCGATTCCCTGGGGTGTCGCCTTTCCGGGGGTGGCTAGCACCTCCCTTTTGTGGGTGCCCACAGCCCTCCGGTCCCCGGCTTGGCGTATCATTTCCTTCCCAGCCCGCCTCGCTCTGCCGCCACAGTCAACGCGCCCATCCGATGCCCTCCAGCCGTGGCCTTGGCCGCTCCCCCGCGCCCCCGAGCGAACGACTCCTCCGGGCAGGAGCGGGCCTCCCCCCTCCCGCTCCGGGGCCTCGCGCGGAGGCAGCCGCTCCCCACGCGCCGGAGCGGGACACGCTTCCCCGGCACACGCGAGTCCGAGAGCGCGCGCCCCCTCTCGGCTTCGCGCCGCTGGCTCTGAGAGGATCCCGCGCCGCGCACCTCCTTCCAGGGACCCCTCAGCTTCCCCGGGCGGGCTCAAGTGCTGCCCCTGCTCCGAGCCCCCTGGACGCCGCCCTCCCGGACCCTCCGAACGCGAGGCCGAGAGTCCTACCCGCGCTCCCGCTCCCAGGCGCCCCCCGGCAGGTGCGGAGGCCCCGGGGCTCCCTCGATGCTCTCAGCCGCCGCCGCCCTCGCGGGTGACGCCGCCTCTGCTGTCCCTCCCGTCCCGCCTGATCTGATTATCTTTCTGGTCGGGTCACGCGAGTAACTGGGTCCCACCCCCACCCCCACCCCTCCCCCACCCCAGCAGAGCAGGCCGCGCCGCGCAGCGGTGGGGAGGCCAGACAAGGGCACGACTCCGCCCCCGGGTCACTCAGGCCGGAGGGGCAGCTCTGCCTTCTAGGCCCAAATCGGAAAGGTTTAGAACTCCTTCATTCCGGCCTGTTCATTTGCCCCAGCCTTGCATTTTTAAGACTTTTAACTCTGAATGAATGACTTTATCTACATTTAAAGGAATTTCAGGAATTCCGTTCCTGATACCAAGGCCCCTCACTTCCCTTTGATCTGCACACTCCACTCCTTCTTGCCTTGCCCCTAGAGTTGGTCATTCCATTGTTTATCTTTTGTTTTCACGTGTTATTGGAAAAACAAAACTAAAAAATGTTTTGCTGGCATGCATTTTAAATTTGTGTAAAAGGAATTGGATTATTTCCCATTCAAGTTTCTTTTCACTCAGTGCTAGGATTTCGAAATCAATATTAATATCTTCCTCTCCTTCTAACTGCTGTGCTCATCCACCTTATTTTACCTTTCCCATCTCCTGCCACCACCAAGAGTACAATCATCACTCTCGAATATATCCCTTTATGCAGTGCTTCTCAAACATTTGTGTGCATGTGTATTACCTGGGATCTTGTTAAAATGTGGGCTCTGATTCAACAGGCCTGGGTGGGGCCTGAGACTGCATTTCTAGCCAGCTCCCAGGTGATACCTATACTTCTGGTCCTGGTGGAACCACTCTGGGGAACAAGGCCCTTATGGGCTTCTATGAGAATTCATTCTGGATTGCTGGGTCATAGGGTATGCACTGATCTAATTAGATAAATATTGCCCTCACCTCTCCAGTCTGGCTGTACAACCTCTACCAGCAGATCAGGAGGTTGGAAGGCCTGTATTTATCTGGGGATGGGAAGAAGGCCTTCTCCTTGCTTCCTCCCCTGACCCCTGCGGTGTGCCTGGTCTGGGCCAAACCTCCTGTTTCCCTTAATCAGAGTGGCCCCAAGGCTCTGAAGTGATGTCCCTGGCTCGCAATGCCCAGCCAAGTCAATGAGAGACCCAAGATTGGCATCCTGGCTTTAAACAGGTGTTCTTGGGGGATCCCTGGGTGGTGCAGCGGTTTGGCGCCTGCCTTTGGCCCAGGGCGCGATCCCGGAGACCCGGGATCGAGTCCCATGTCGGGCTCCCGGTGCATGGAGCCTGCTATTCCCTCTGCCTGTGTCTCTGCCTCTCTCTCTTTCTCTCTCTGTGACTATCATAAATAAATAAAAATTAAAAAAAATAAAATAAACAGGTGTTCTTGCCTTGGTTTTATCCTTGAGGAAAATGAAGTTCAAGACCAAGGCCATGGAGCTAAAAGGTAACAGTGCTGGGATTCAAGCCCATCCTCAGCCAATGCCCCAGAGCCCATGCTAACCATGAGGCTCCACCATCTCCACGTCCTGCCTTACCTTTATTACTAGGCCACATCTGAGGGAGAACCACAAGAAAACGGGATGGAAGGACCGGGCCTGGGGTTTTCAGGCACCGATGCTGAAGGCATCTGACCAGTGGCCTGAATACTTGTGCAACTCCACAGCAAGTAGGTTTTAGCAAAAATAAACTTCGGTTCTAGGAGTTGGTCCTCATGGCCTGAATGTTTAGCAGGAAAAAGAAACTTTGGTTCTAGGGCTTCGGGAGCAGAAGTTTTAAGGTTAGATATATCCAGAGGGGTCAGGATCTGGGTGGGGTCTGTTAGGTGGGTCTCAGCTGTGGGTAAAGCTATCTACCATGTGCCTTACTCAGTAATAACAGGTCGTTGTTTTGTTTGGAGAGTTAGCGGATATGTGAAGAGCCAGGATGCTGGACATGAAGGGATGCCACCTTCTAAGACCTTCCTGAGCTGTGAGCGGCTAATCAGTTCAGATTCACAAACCCATGGGCTCTGCTTTCTCCACATGCACATCTGTCCAAGCGTTTCCAGGCGCCAGGCCCCAGCCCCAAGCATTTCACAATCAGAAGAGCTCAACATGTGCACGTTTTGAGATTTCATGTCACATGACCTCTTACATCTCGTCCACACCCACTGGCCCCTGTTTGCCATCGGAGGGCTGAAACTGTGCATGACAGAGCATTTCTCTGAAGGCCTGGGGAAGCTTCCTGCTCTTCCAACCACCTTCAGGGTCAAAAGGCCTTTTGAGCCTACACATTAATTCTTAGGCTTCAGTATCATATCTTACAGCTCTCTGGTCTTTACGAAGTACTTCACTCATAGGTATTGCCTTTGACTCACAATGACCCCATGACAGGGTTGAGACTCACTTATCATGGAGATTCAAAAGAATTGGTTGGCCATGGCCGCACATTGTTTAAGTGAGGAAATGGGACTTCTTGTTCATTTTTCCATAACAGACCTTAGGAAACTTAGAGTAGGTCTCTTCTGGGATCCTCACTACCCTAGTAGTGGCCCACCTCCCAGACTCAGGGATGCTCACCAAGGCAGAAGGGAAGAAGTCTAGGGAGTGGGGGATGCCTGAGCAGAAAGGAGCGAGAGGTGTTAGTTGAGGTCTCATGGGACTTCTGGACGGCCTTCTCCCAGGTAGGTTTCTGTCAGTGGGCTCTTTCTAGAGCCTGGGGAAAGAGCGGGGGTTGGGGGGTTAGTGAAAGGAATGGCCAGTCAGGGCTACCGAACTAGAAATTCTCAACTGAGTCCGTAGCTGAGACAGCTGAGCAGCTGCAAGAAAAAGCTGCTGCCAGTTGCTAAGGGAGCCCTAGTGGTGTCACTACAGCCTTGTGGGAACTCTCAGTGGCTTGGCCGAGCTCTGCCCCTGGCTAACCCTTCTGCCCTGTCCCTTCTCAAAGCCTCCAATGCCCCACACCAAGTACCTGTAGCATTGGCTTGGGGAAGGTGCCCAGAGGTCAGGCCAGTCTACCCTGCCAGCTTTAGCAACATCACACATGGCCCGAGCAGTGCTAGGGATGGGAGGTCTGGGGCCTCCCCCTCCCCAGGGCTCAACAGACACAGGCAGCGGGATGGGGTTGCCCTTCTATTGGTCCAAGTCCTGAGTGTAGTCTGGGTGAGACATGGAGGTGAGGAGGCCCACGAGGCTCAACAGCATGGAGAAAAGCAGCAGGAAGGAGGCGGTGAAGAGCAGGGCAGGGAGGGCGCTGAGCACCAGCAGCAGGACAGCTGGCAGCAGATGGCGCCACGCTGCAGTCACGACAGGCCACAAGGAGCTCAGCAGGTAGGAGCCGGTGGTGAAGAGCGCGTGGCATAGCATCAGCGCCAGCAGCAGGTAGAGGATCCCCTCCAGCCCCCATAGCACACGCTGGAGTGGCTGCCGCCAGCCCGATGCGGTCCACCACTGGGCCCAGCTCCGAGGCATGTGGCACATGCACCAGCGCACCCAGGCCTGCCGCATGACCCAGGCCGACCAGGGCATTGCCTGCTGCGGCCCCTCGCCGGCCCCGATGGCACCTGTCTCCACTTGGGGCTGCTGCATCCTGGCTGGTACACCTGGGGAGAGGGCCAGGCCAGCTGCAGGAGCAGCCCCGAGATGCCTGGGACCTCAGGGCAGGTGGGGGGCAGGAGGCAGGGGCAGGAGGGTACCAGCACGGGCGGGGTGAGGCTTTGAGCTGGGGCCTGGGGCTTACCTCTGGGCAGAACCACCTAAGTCATGTTGCTTCCTGCAGCACCTAGGACGGCCTAGTGGCCAGAGTGGAGCCCCTGCTGTCCCTCTGTCCCCCCTTCCCCCCAACCAGATCCCTATTGTGACCCGGGTGGGGGTGGGGTCCAACCAAGAGAGGAGTCACTGCAGGATGTGAGGTTCACCTGAATCCCTTTCCACGGACCCTCCAGGCTGCCAGGGGGTGCTGATGAGCCCACTGATGCAGATTGTCATGCTTTCTTGTGGGAAGCCCTCTCCGGATCCTGGTTCCTACCCCACTAACTGATATCCAGTCCTACTCTGCTCTCCTGTGAGTCTTTCTGAACACTGATACTCTAGAACCACAGAAGAGGCCAGAATGGCCACCTCCCAACCCACAAACTCGGAGATGGCTGCCACATCCTGCCCTGGGACCCCTGTCCCTTAGCTCACCTTCTGTTGCTGTGCTCAGACTCAGACCCAGGTATCCACTGTCCACATTGTGGAGCTGAAGGTCCCCTGTGGTTCAGACTGGAGATAAAGGGGTACCCTCCTGCCTGCTCCACCCACAACAGAGGAAAGGCGATCTGGGGAAGCAACACTGCCAGTGTATTTCTGGAGGGCATTCAGATCCAAGGATGGAGGTAGAAAGCCAGGCCAAGCAGGGCCAAGGGCATGCTGCAGGCTCCCAGGAGCAGCCCCAGGCTCAGGAGCAGCAGTAGCAGAGCCTTCTGGGGGCTGAGTTGTCCCGTGACTGCCACCGGAGGCAGGAGTACAGCCTCCTGCAGTCCTGGGCCCTCACCGGCCCCCTGACTCTGGCTGTGAGAAGTATGTGCTGTGGTTGGACCGGGCCTGCGGGGCTGTGGAGAGACAGGGTGACAGCTGGGCTTCCGGAAATTGACTATTTGTTTGCCTGCTTATTCCTGTCACCTGCCAGGCTGCTGCACACTTACCAATGGAACAGGTCGAAGGTCAGGAAGCTGACCAGTAGCAGCAGCAGCAGCAGAAAGACTGGGACAGCCGTGGAAAAGACTGCCCGAACTGTCAGCCCCAGTGCCCCCAGCCCTAGGACACTGTCCCAGAGCTGGGCCGGGCTAAGGCCCCAGGGAGACATACATGGACTTACTGGACTATTTTACCCCTCCCCAGCACTCAGGCCCCTGGGAGGGACTGGGATAGGATAAGCAGGACCTTTGGGCCTGGGCAAGCAAAGCTGGGTCATAGAGGGAGGTGGAGATGACAGGAAGGACTAGTGCTGGGAGGGAGTTGGGGTGGGTAGGTATATGGGACGGTGTGGGACCCTGACAGACACTTGAGAGTAAACTGCGTGGGAATCTCCCCCTCCCCACACACTCACCACACCCTCCTCACCTTCTACTTCGGTCAGCTGTTATGGGACTGGGCAGCTGGGACATTGTGACCTATTGCCAGGTGGGGCTCTGGGGTACAGAGGGAGCTGTGGCTGGTTTTGACCTCTTAAGCAGCTGGTATCTTAGGTGGGGCTTAGCCAGAAGGAAGTCATGATTTCTGAGAACTAAGACTCATCCTCTTGCCTTGGTGAATTCTCTGCCCCCAGGACCCCCCAAGAGGATCTGAGTTACCAGGAAGGCATTCTAACCCCATCACCACGTGGGTAAGAGAGGAAGGGCCGCTCTCTTTCTCCTGCGGGTTCCCAGAGCTCTGTGTCCAGGAACAATTATTCAATCTTCCTGTCGGCAGCTGTCTCTCCCCTGAGAGCTGGATGATGCCTTGGGGGGGAATTTTCAGGACTGCAGCCCTGAAATGCAGAGACAGGCTCTGCCAGGAAGCACCCTGAGACTTTCTGGAGCTGGGCTCCCAGGGGACTGCTACAGGGTGGGGCAGGAGGGGGCTGTTTCTAAGCCCTGTGGTTTGTGGGAAGTGTTCCAGATACTGGAATTACAGAAATGGCATATATAATGTGAATATGAAGGGCGGTGACATAGTAACTCACAATCTGGAAGTTAAAGTAACTCTGATGATGAAAGTAAGGAAAATGAACATAAAAGGAAGGGATTGATCATCTGAAAAGGAAACCTATCTCCATGGTAATCTGAACCTACGGAGGTTCCAGCACATCTCACTTTAGTGACTTGAGAGGCAAGAATGGAAATGGATCATAACTAACAACAGAGTCCTTGTCCACTTATCATACATTGAAGAAAACTAATGGGGGTGGGGGAAGGGAACTGTGGTCATACAGCCCCAAGGAGAAGAGACAGCAAGAATTAGGCAGCATATCTGTCTCTAGTAGGCACTGTCCAAAGACTCAAGGCTGGTGGACTTGACATCACTGGCATAGAACCCATACCCCTGGCCCTTGGGATCATTCATTGATCACTTTTGCTCTGGCTCTTGCCAGAGTAAAAAGCAATGCCTGCAGAATTCTGAGAAAATTATTTCCAACCTAAGAACATGTATTTGTCCACATGATGATCAAGTATGAAAGTAGAAGAAAGACATTTTAAGCCATGCAAGTTCTTAAAAATTTGACCTCACATACACTCTTTCCTAGAAAGCTACTGGAGGATGTGCTTCAGCAAAACAAGGCATTAAACTAAGAGGACAATATGGGAGTCAAGAAATGAGGCTAGGGCAGCCCAGGTGGCTCAGCGGTTTAGCGCCGCCTTTAGCCCAGGGCCTGATCCTGGAGACCTAGGATGGAGTCCCATGTCAGGCTCCCTGTGAGGAGCCTGCTTCTCCCTCTGCCTGTGACTCTGCCTCTCTCTCTGTGTGTGTCTCTCATGAATAAATAAAATCTTAAAAAAAAAAAAAAGAAAAAAAGAAATGAGGCTAAACACAGGAAAGCAATGATGAGAAAGGCTCAAGATGTCAGCTGTGCTTCCAAGTGAAGAAAGAAAACAACCTAAAGTGGAATCAAAAGCAAGATGCTCCAGGAGGGATGTCTCCAGAAGAAAATGAGATTGTCTGCAGTTTTTAGATATGTTCAAAATAAATGTTCAGTTCTGTTGGTTGCTTTGGGATTAAATTAGTAATTGATGTGTAGAAAACCAAGCAAATGCTAAAACAAAGTAATTGCTAACTCCAGGGACGCCTAGGTGGCTCAGCAGTTGGGTGCTTGCCTTCGGCCCAGGTCGTGATCCTGGAGCCCTGGGATCGAGTCCCACATCAGGCTCCTTGCGTGGAGCCTGCTTCTCCCTTTGCCTGTGTCTCTGCCTCTCTCTCTCTCTCTGTCTCTCATGAACAAATAATAAAATCTTTGACAGGGTGAGAGAGAGAGAGAGGAAGAGAGAGAGAGAGAGAGAGAGAGAGAGAGATAGAGGAAGAAGCAGGCTCCATGCAGGGAGCCTGACGTGGGACTCAATCCCGGGTCTCCAGAATCACACCCTGGGCTGAAGCCAGCGCTAAACCGCTGGGCCACCGGGGCTGCCCCAAATAAATAAAATCTTAAAAAAAAAAATTGCTAACTCCAGGGAACACAAAAAGTTGAACAATAGTATTTACATGGTCATAATATAAGCACTGAATATGGACTTCAGTGACTTAGCTCTTCAGGAAGATGGAAAGACTGTGTTTGTGTACTTGAATATATGTGCGGAGGAGGATGGTAGGAAAGTGAAATCTTTAATTCCATAGCAGGAAACCTACAGATAACATTTAGACATAGAAAAATTAAAGAAGTAGCAATAGAAGTATAAAGATAAATACAAGGAGAAATAACAGAATTAAAAGTGGTTGATCTGGGAATGGAGAAGCATAGAAAAGAATCTTCTATTGCAAGCTTAAATGTGGTTTACCTTTAAAACTGTGTTCTGTAGTATTTTGGTTAAATGATTTAGTTAAAAAGAAAGAAAATTAATATAGGGTCATATTGTAGAGATCAGGAATATACCCTCCCAGGATGAATGAAATACCAATTTCCAAATGTTATGTGGATGTGCTCTGTAGCTTCAGATAAAATTTGCAGTGACAACATCAAACACCATCAAACTTGAAAGTTGTGAATCTCATGCATTTTAGATGGAGGTGTTCTAAATCTCCACCTAGTGCTGCTCAGCCTTTAATGTGCACATGAATCTCCTGGGGTTGAATTCTCTGGAGATCTTGTTAAAATGCAGATTCTGATTCAGTAGGTCTGGGGTGGGATTCTGCATTTCTAACAAGCGCCCAGGGGATGCGGTGCTGTTGGTCCTTGGCCACACTTTGAGAAGCAGGGCTCTCAAGGACTTTGATGCACAAAAGAGAGATAGCTGGGGGAGGTAGTGAGCAGAGGATGGTCATGTGGGGAGATGCCTCCCAGTGCATGTAGGCCCATGGGAGGGAGTCCCCATCAATGCTCACTTGCATCATAGGGAGAGCCCCTAGTACAGAGTGAGTTCTGGCCCAGCACCAGGGACAGAAGACTGGCAGATCCAGCAGGCAGTAGATTTCACTACCTCTCTCTTTGTACAGCCAAACACACAACCTCCTTTCTTTTCTTGATATTGTTTTATTCCATCCATGTATGTGGGAATAAGAGGACAGTATGAGGGACACCTGGGTGGCTCAGTGGTGTTAAGCATCTGCCTTTGGCTCAGGTGATGATCCCAGAGTCCTGCGGATGGAGTTCTGCATCAGGGTCCCCAAAGGGAAGCCTGGTTCTCCCTCTGCCTATGTCTCTGCCTCTCTCTGTGTGTCTCTCATGAATTAAAAAAATAAAAAAAATATGGGGCGCCTGGGTGGCTCAGGTGGTTAAGCATCTGCCTTTGGCTCAGGTTATGATCCCAGGATGCTGGGATCAAGCCCTGCATCAGCTCCCTGCTCAGAGGTGAGTCTGCTTCTCCCTCTCCCTCTGCCCATCCCCCTACCACCTTGTTCATGCTTGCTCTGTCACTCTCTCAAATAAATAAATAAAATCTTAAAAAAGAAAAAAAGAAAAAAAAAAAGAGGACAGTATGAAGCTGTTTTCCCACCTTTAATTCATCTGGTTAGCCTCAGCGCCCCCGAGGAACCACATATTTTCTCACTTCATCACCACCAAAACCCTGGGGCTAAGATATTATCGTCCCCATTTTACAGATGAGGAAACAGAAGCTCAGAGAGCAAATTACTGTCTAAGGGTACCCACACAAAACAAACAGCAGAAGCGGGTGTGAAATGGAGCCTAGGCGATGCCAAAGTTGAGCCATCCCACCACCCTGGAGAGCTGGCAGGAGAGTTCCCGGCCATCCCTTAAACCCAAATCCCTTTTGGGCTGCTATCTCCACCCAGTCCAGCTCAGTCCTGCTCACATGTGCTTTGCACCATATTCTCACCCACCTGAGGCCACAACAGATTCTCCACCTGGCTCCTGAGCCTAGAGATCTGACTGCACCAGTATCTGAGTGTAGACCTGCCGCTGGAGCTGCCGCCTCAAGAGCCTGCCTTCTGGCCTGGCAGCTTTGCAGCTCAAGGAACCAAGTCGAAAGGACCAAAGACAGCAACCGAGGTGGGAAAGTACCTGAGGGGATAAGGAAGTAATGAAGGAGCATAGGGAGGCTCTGAGGCACTCAGGGGGCATAGAGGGATATGAAGGGGCCCTGAAAGTTGTAATAGGGCAGAGAGGCAAGGGATTAAGAGAGGAGAGAAGGGTGACGGGGCACAGGGGACAGAAAGGTACTAGCATCCCACAGATCTGAGCCCCTGAGAGCTTGGCAGGGGATGGCCAGCATGCTCCATCTTGCTAGTCCCTTGGGGGGCAGGTCTCCCAGTTTATGGCCTATCATCTCTCCCACAGAACCTGGCACTGTTGGGGAGAGTCAGCTTCCCTCAGGTCTGCTTGGTCCTCTCTAACCTTGAATATATTACATAGATACTTTTTTTAAAAAAAGATTTTATTTATTTATTCATGAGAGACACAGAGAGAGGCAGAGACATTGGAAGAGAAAGAAGCAGGCTCCCCAAGGGGAGCCTGATGTGGAACTCGATCCCAGGACCTCGGGATCAGGACCTGAGCAGAAGGCAAATGATCAACCGCTGAGCCACCCAGGTAACTGCTGAGCTACCTAGGCACCCCTGTTAGATACTTAAAAAAAATAAATAAATAAAAATAAAAGATTTATTTATTTATTAGAGAGAGAGAACGTGCATGCGCACAAGTGAGCAAGTATGGGGAGGTCTAGAGGGAAAGAATCTCAAGCAGACTACTCACTAAGTGCAGAGCCTGACCTGGGGCTTGATCTCATGATGCATGAGATCATGACCTGAGCCAAGACCAAGAGCTAGATGCTTAACCTAGTGAGCCACCCAGGTACTCCCACACAGATACATTTTGGGCACTGAGTAGGGACTAGATGCTGTTCTAGGCCATGAGCTGTGAACTTTTGGGTACAAAAAGCTCTTCTGGAGTGTTGCTTACCTTTGCTAGGGAGGAGGACCCAGACAGTGAACACATAACAAAACAAGATAATCTCAGTCTTGAGTGCCTTTGAAAACAATAATAAAACAGGGTGAAAGGATAGTGTGTGTAGAGGATGGGGCTTACTTTCATCAGAATGGCCAGCAAAGGCAGTGTCAGGTGACACCAAAAAGCAATCTGTATGATAAGGATGCAAATTTAGTGAACTAGTGCAAAGGCCATGAGGCTGGAAGGGGCTGGTGCATCAGAGGGATTGCTAGAAGGCCAGTGTGGCTGGCTGGAGGCATATGAGCCAGGGTCCATGAGGTGGGAAAGATGTGGGTGGAGAAGAACTTTATCATGAAGGACCTTGCATGTGAGCCTCCAGGGACTACAACTAGGAGGAATCTGACCTGATTTAGGTGCTATGGGTGAGAGCCTCAGGAGGCTGAGATGTCCTGGCCAGGTGCCCCCCCCCCCCCACTGTCTGTCAAACTTTGGTGAGGTTGAGGCCAGAGACAGAGAAGTGGCCAGACTGGGCTTTGGAGGAAGGGGGAGCAGCCCTCAGGACCTGTTCAGACCCTCTTCCAGCTCTACCGGAGCCTGTCCTGCCCTCCCACTCCAGTGAAGCCTCAGTGTACAGTACTCTTTCTGCCCCTGACCCGTCACTCCCTTTTGGGGCTCTCTATACATTGTGCCTGGGTAGGGCCAGATGCCTCCAGGGGCTCTGGGACTCACGTCTGTGAGGTTGCCCCTGCTGGTGGTGGGATCTAGTTCCAGGGGTACAAAGTGGGATCTTTCGAAAAATCATATGAGATTGGGCCGCCAGAACGGTGACTTGGAGTGATTCAAATAGTTTATATAGAGGCCCCGCAAAAAAAGTATTTGCTAAGGGGGGCACACACTCCAGAGGATTCCTGGCCACCTGGCATCGCTTCTCTTGGCCGCGGGCTCCTTGCAAGGACAAAGCACAGGCCAGAGGCGCGCAACGGACGCATTTCCTTCCCTCTGGGAGGCGATCTGGCGTCGGGGAATCAAAGGGGGCTAGGCAGCCGGATGGGGAAGGGACCTCCGCTCCGGAATCCTCGATGTGGGGCACCCCGCCAGCGGAGACCCCCGGCTGCCTGCCACCGGAGGAGTCTGAGACGGGTGGGGGAGGCAGCGGGGAGGGCGGGACTGGCGAGCAACGGGCCTCGGTCCCTCCACCTCCGGGCCCAGCCGGCCGGGTATCTGCTCCGGCTTCTTTCCTCGAGTTATGTAAGCCCGGAACGTGGCAGCCCGGCGAGCAAAGGAGTAGGGGAGGGGACGGGAAGGAGGAGAGGAGAGAGGCGGGGCCGGGGGGATGGGGTTGGCGGTGGGAAGGGCCGCCTCGGGCTGGGCCCCTAGGGTCGTCTTTCAGAAGAATCCCTGGAGGGGTAGTGCTCCCTCCTCCCCGCAGCCCGCCCATCCAGCGCCTCAGTTTCCCCTCTTCCTTTTGTCCCATCCGCCCTGGGAGGGGACTTCTGGCTCTGGATGGATTTCCCTCTTGAGTTGTTTCCTCCCCCAAAATTCTCAGCGTTGCTACCGCGGCCACCTCCGTTGGGGGCTCTGAGCCTCAGTTTACCGGTTTGCAAAATGAGGTTGGATTGAGAGGCCACGTGCAAAGCGCCTGGCACGGTGCGCGGTGCGAAGCAGGCGCCCACTGTGGGCCAGGCGCCTCACAGGGTTTGGTGAAACCAGGCAGGGGTGCCGAGGGGCTGCGCGGACTGCAGAGCGCAGCGCACAAGTGGGGCGGGCGAGCTGGGGACGCCGGAGGGGGCGGGGCAGGGGCGGTGGGTGCGGGGACCGGGGGTGGCCGCTCGGGGGTCCGCCTCCCGCGCTCCGCCCGGGCCCTCCCCTCCCCTCCCCTCCCCTCCCCACCTCCCCTCCCCTCGCCTCCCGGGTCCCGGGCCAGCTAGAGGGCTGTGGGCGGGCGGAGCCGCAGGGGGCGTGTGGCGGCGGCAGGAAGGGGCGGGGGGCTCCGGAGCACCGGGCAGGAAGAGACGAACCCACCGGCCGCCGCGGACCCAGCGCGTCCCCACCTTCGGACCCCGCCATGTGGGGTCTCCTGCTCGCCTTGGCCGCCTTCGCGCCTGCCGTCGGTCCGGGTCTGGGGGCGCCTGGCACGTCGGTGCTGGGACTTGCGCCTCCCGCTGCCACCGAGGCCCGGGGCTCGACCCTGGCCCCGCAGAGCAGCCCGGTACAGCCGCCCGCGGGGAAGAGTAACGGTGAGCGCCCCGACCGAGGGCCCGCTTCTCGGGCTAGTCGGCTACCCTCCTCCCCTGTCCGCTGTGTGCCCACCCTTCCCCGACACACGCGCTCACACACGCACACACACGCTCACACACTCCCTGCCCGGAGCCTGTGTGCCCACCCTTCCCCGACACACACACACACACACACACACACACACACACACACACACACACTCCTCCCTCCCTCCCTCCCTCCCTCCCTCCCGTCCCTTGCTACGGCTGCTGACTCAGCAGACCCAGTTCCCGGCCAGAGCAAGTCAGCAGTCCTGGGAGGGAGCCAGTAGGATGCTGCCTCTTCCAGCCCCAAACCTTCCCTTTTTACGGATGAGGAAACTGAGACCAGAGCCAGGAGAAGGGGAGAAAGAGGGACAGACAAAAGCCCTGAGGGTAGCAGGTGCAGAACTAGACCTAAGGACAGAGCCTGAGGGCAGGGGCCGGAAGGAAAGATGGAGAGCAAGGTGGGGAGAGTGGTCTTTGCTAGCGCTGCCTGGAGGAACGGGGCACTGTGAGGGGTGGGAGAGAGGCCGGCTGCCTCACTTTCTGACTTCAGATGCAAGTACAGAGATGAGGAAGGCAAAGGGCTGGCAATCAAGGAGGGCTTCTCAGAGGAGGCAAGTGAAACTGGGTCCTGAAAAGCGGGTATCTCTGAGTCAGGAGGAGCTAAAGAGGGAGGGCAAACAAGAAGGACGCTGTATGGGGAAAGGCATGGGTCCCCAGGTAGGTAAATGTACAGCGCTTTCTGGAGGTATCTGCAGAGCGTGGGGAACTCTGGTGGGGAACCAGTGACTTCCGCCCTGTTCAAGGCCCTGTACTGCAGGGCAAGCAGGACACAGGCCCAGCCGTGGAAAGTCTGGGCACCTAGGCAGACAGTCTGAGGATGGGACATCTCAGCCCAGAGGGCAGATGCAGCAGTAGAGGCGGATCAGGGCTTTGGAACATGAGATTGGGTCTAGGGCTAAGGAAGCCTCCTGGGCTGAAATTCAAAGAATGGGAATTAGGCAATAAGATCCGGGGGATGATGGAGAAGGTCAGCCAAGGCCAAGGCCTGCAGATAAAGAAACAAACTCAGGGATGCCTGGATGGCTCAGCGGTTAAGCTCTGCTTTCGTCTCAGGGTATGATCCTGGGGTTCGGGGATCCAGTCCCACATCGGGCTCCCTGAGGGGAGCCTGCTTCTCCCTCTGCCTATGTCTGCCTCTGTGTGTGTTTCTAGTAAATAAATAAAATCTTAAAAAGAAAAACCCAAACTCAGCTCTTTGGAGGAACCAAATAGTTAGTTCCCTGTTAGTGACTGGGTGACTGGGTGTAGCTCTCCACTGGAGAGGTTCAGAGACCAGGCTGGCCAAACATGTAGTCATGTCAAGAAGGAGCCAGGGAAGTGGTGGGAGAGGCAGGTGGGAGTCAGACGTTAAGTCCATGCTAAGGTCTTTGGATACCGGGTGTGGGGGTGCTGCCAAGGACTGGCATGCTTTCTTGGGCTGGCAGATGACTCCCTCTGGCATTCTTCCCTCCCCTGGTGCTCTGCCTCCCTGGTCCCCAGGGACCTCAGAACAGCATGTTCGGATTCGCATTGTCAAGAAGAAGAAGATCATTATGAAGAAACGAAAGAAGCTAACTCATCCTGGACCCCTGGTGACTGCCAAGCCTCCGGTGACCACCACCCCTGCAGGAGCCCTTGACCCCTCAGAGGAGCAGGAACCAGGTATTGCTACTCCAGGGACCCTTCCCAGACTTGCAGCCCCTGGGCCACATACTAACATCACTTTTGGCCTCATGGGCATAGGCATGCCCCCAGCTTGCCCAGCACTTGGGCAGGCATGGACTCGGCTTCTTACCTGCCCTGACCACTCTCTCTGGTCTTGTCTCACTGCTCTGCCCCTGCCCCAGGCTGCCCCCCCTTGGGTCTGGAGTCCCTGCGAGTTTCGGATAGCCAGCTCGAGGCATCCAGCAGCCAGTCCTTTGGTCTTGGACCACACCGGGGACGGCTCAACATCCAGGTCAGCAGCCCTGGCTCTGAGCAGGGCGCCTCCTAGGAACTTCCTCCCTCCCCAGCCCCCAGCCCCCAGCCCAGACCACTCTATACTGTTCACTTAGATCTGATCACCATGTCCTGTGCTCACAGTCAGGCCTGGAGGACGGCGATCTGTATGACGGGGCCTGGTGTGCTGAGGAGCAGGATACTGAGCCATGGTTTCAGGTGGATGCTAGGCACCCCACCCGCTTCTCAGGCATTATCACACAGGGCAGGAACTCTGTCTGGAGGTGAGGCAGGCCAGCCCAGTCCAGGAAGTATGGACAGAATCAGAAGGGTTGCGGTGGGAGTCCTGGGGTCACCGATAATCTCTCCCCTGCTCCCTGCCAGGTACGACTGGGTCACATCATACAAGGTCCAGTTCAGCAATGACAGTCAGACGTGGTGGGGGAGTAGGAACCGCAGCAGTGGGATGGATGCGGTGAGTGGTGCCATGGTGGTTGGGGCCCACTATAGGATCCTGGACTGGACTGGGGCTGCTCTGACGTCAAGGAATAGATGCCCGCTTGGCATTCCAGGAGAAAGGGGGTTGTCAGAATGGGTAGCACTCACCAGGCAGCCTTGAGGGCTAAGCTGCTTTAGAACATGTCCGCATCTCCCTCTCTCCACCGGGAGGGTCCCACTTCATGCCACAACTTCCTGCTGGAACCCCCTTTCTGGTGATGGGCCTCACCACCTTGTATCCCTTCTCACCTCCTCGTGGCTCTGGCTTTCCCATCTCATGGACTCCTTTTTATACCAGGCTACAATGCAGGGCCTGGCCAGCTTTAGGACTGGCTGCTCCTGAGTCCTGTGGCCAGATTGGTCTAATAAGCTGTGACCAAGCTGCCTAGGCTGCCCATGGGCAGGGGGTCTGGGGTGACGTACAGTGCAAGTCTCTGGCTGAGCCCACAGGATAGGTTTGGTGATGAGCTTAGAGGCCGGAGTTCTTTCTCTGGTCTGGACATGCTGCTGGGTTTTTAGCAGTCCCACCAAAATACTTGATGCCCGCAGGTGTTTCCTGCCAACTCAGACCCAGAGACACCAGTGCTGAACCTCCTGCCTGAGCCCCAGGTAGCCCGCTTCATTCGCCTGCTGCCCCAGAACTGGCTCCAGGGAGGCACATCTTGCCTCCGGGCAGAGATCCTAGCCTGCCCGATCTCAGGTGAACAGTGGGCCATGGGCTGGATGAGCAGGGTAAAACTTCTAGCATGGACTCCTCTTTGATGGAGAATTCATTCTCCACCAGATCCTAACGACCTATTCCCTAAGGCCCCTGAATTGGAATCCTCTGATCCTTTGGACTTCCGGCATCACAATTACAAGGCCATGAGGAAGGTCAGACATAAGCCCTATGAGCCAGGAGGGAGGAACTGCCAATCTTAGCTCTTCTTCCCACTGGGGCATAATCTGCTACAACTGTCTTCATGTCTCCACATCCCCCACTGTCTCACCCTTCTCCTGTTGACCCCTGAACTCTGCCGTAATTTCCCTGGTTTTGATGCCTCCCTTGTCCTAACCCTTCCTTCTGGTCTGCTCTGCTCTGCTATATGGTGCTGTGGTGCCCCCATCTGTGTAAGTCCTTCCACGGCCACGTGTGGTCTGACCCTTGGGTCCCATCCTCCCATGCCCCATGCTATGCTACACTTCACCACCCAGCTGATGAAGGAGGTGAACGAGAAGTGCCCCAACATCACCCGCATCTACAGCATCGGGAAGAGCCACCAGGGCCTGAAGCTGTATGTGATGGAAATGTCGGACCAGCCTGGGGAGCATGAGCTGGGTACTGGCAGGTTCTGGGTGGGGAGAGGTAGGCACAGAGAAGGGTGGGGGGCATGCGCCAGCGCCGAGTCCCTGTGTTCCCAGGAGAGCCTGAGGTGCGCTATGTGGCTGGCATGCATGGGAATGAGGCCCTGGGGCGGGAGCTTGTCCTGCTCCTGATGCAGTTCCTGTGTCATGAGTTCCTGCGAGGGGACCCACGAGTGACCCGGCTGCTCACTGAGACACGTATTCACCTGCTGCCCTCCATGAACCCTGATGGCTATGAGACTGCGTTTCGCCGGGTAGGCCACCTGGCATGAGGGCCACCCTGCTCCTTCTGCCCTGGTGCCTGCTTGGCTTGAACAAGCCCCTTCCCTGGCAGGGCTCGGAGCTGGTGGGCTGGGCAGAGGGCCGCTGGAACCACCAGGGCATTGATCTTAACCATAATTTTGCTGACCTCAACACACCACTGTGGGAAGCAGAGGATGATGGGCTAGTGCCTGACACTGTCCCCAACCATCACCTGCCACTGCCCGCCTACTACATCCTGCCCAATGCCACTGTGAGTATTCTGGGGGCAGTGGTGGAGGGCCACCCAGGGGCACTCATCTCTGTCTCCCCCCTACCTGACCTTTCTCTCTCTAGGTGGCCCCTGAAACGCGGGCTGTGATTGAGTGGATGAAGCGGATCCCCTTTGTGCTGAGTGCCAACCTCCATGGGGGTGAGCTTGTGGTGTCCTACCCATTTGACATGACTCGGACCCCGTGGGCTGCCCGTGAACTCACACCCACTCCGGATGATTCCGTATTCCGATGGCTTAGCACCGTCTATGCTGGCACCAACCGAGCCATGCAGGACCCGGACCGCCGACCCTGCCACAACCAGGACTTCTCCTTGCATGGCAACATCATCAACGGCGCTGACTGGCACACAGTCCCGGGGAGTATGTGCCTCAGGATAGAGTTAGCCCCGCCCCTGTAACACTGCCCCCGTGAGACAGCCCACTGTCCAGTCCGGTGGTGTGGATTCCCCCCAGGAAGAGTCTCACAGAGGAGGGCACCCGGAGGGCTGGGCTATCCGCCCCTCCCCACCAGGCTCCAGTATCTGTGATAACCCTAGGTATGAATGACTTCAGCTACCTCCATACCAACTGCTTTGAAATCACCGTGGAGCTGTCCTGTGACAAGTTTCCTCACGAGAACGAGCTGCCCCAAGAGTGGGAGAACAACAAAGATGCCCTCCTCACCTACCTGGAACAGGTTGGATCTGAATCCCTACCACCCCCACCCCCACCCCCAGGTCCATCTGTGTCACTGCTGTGGTCTGCTGTCCCTGTGGATTGCAGCTCCCATCAGGGGGGCCTCCCAACATCTGACTCATATGTGCCTTGGCTCACACTTGGCATCAGACGGACTTGGAGGGTTAGAGCATGGAGAGCATAGTCTGCCAACAGGGTGGCCTCAGACATCATGAGCCAGGAGGAGTAGACCCCACACACTCACAGCCCGCTAAACCCAGTCCATAGAGCTGTCCCCGAGCTGTCTCGGGTGGGCTGTTTCCAGAAGAAACCCAGAATGCTAGTGCAGGGGCGGGGGGTGCTGGCATAGATGCCTCCTATTCCAGAGGAGCTGTATGTCTTGCGATGGCTTCATAAGTATACTTTCCAAGGGTTCCAAAATGACAAACTTGATATTAAGGGTCACTGAGCTTGGGAAACCCAAAGACAGGTCTTCCTCCTGGGTGTTTGTAGCTCTCCCAGTCCAAATCCAATTTATTGGTTGAGTTATTTTTACCTGAGTATTGCCACCTAGGAACCTAGACATAACCATCACCAGGTTTGCCCCAAACAGAGCCAGGGAATGAAGGGCAGGTGCCATTCTCACACAGTGGGGAAAGGGTTTTGATAGCACCCCACCCTTCCCTATCCCCATATAGGTGAGAATGGGCATCACGGGAGTCGTGCGAGACAAAGACACAGAGCTGGGGATTGCTGATGCTGTCATCGCTGTGGATGGGATTAACCATGATGTGACAACAGGTGTGCTGTGAGGGTATAATGGAGCTGGGGGGTGGGGGTGGGGCTTTGAGTCGGGGTCAGAAGCAGAGGATCACCATATCCTTATCTTGGCCTTCACTCCTCTCAGCATGGGGTGGGGATTACTGGCGCCTGCTGACCCCTGGGGACTACATGGTGACAGCCAGTGCTGAGGGCTACCATACTGCCACCCGGAGCTGCCGGGTCCCCTTTGAAGAGGGCCCGGTACCCTGCAATTTCCACCTCACGAAGACTCCCAAACAGAGACTTCGAGAGCTGCTTGCAGCTGGGGCCAAGGTGCCCCCAGACCTCCGGAGGCGGCTGGAGCGACTGCGGGGACAGAAGCACTGACATGTCTGGGTGGAGAGCCCAGGAGCGGCGGGCAGGCTGGACCTGTCCAGAACTGAAGGGGGGAGGGACACAGTAGGGGAAGAGGTGCTCAGGCACATTAAAGCTACTTGGCACCTCACCTGGCCTTCCTGTGGTCTCTGTGTGTCCCAGCTCCTGCCCCGGGGCCAGGCCCCAGCCTCCCCTTCTCCCCCATCCTATTCTGCACATGCTTGCCTTCATCGATTAACTTCTGGAGAGATGGTATGGAAAGGTGTACCTGCCCGGGTTCTTCTTGAACCTAGGGCTTACCTGAGCAGCTCATCAACCAATTTCAGGCACCATGGCAGTGCTCAGGGCCGAGCATGCAGGGAGTCCAGGACGAACTGTGCCCTTCCAGCCTCCTGGGACTCTCAGTCAAGACGGGGGACAGTTCAGTGCAGTGTGAGGGATGCTAAGGTGGAGCCCTGTTGCTGTGGGCGTGCAGGTGGGATTCCATACATTTGCGTGAAATACAGCATGGCAGTTGAGCAGGGACTCAGATGTCAAGGACTCAACAGGCATACATGAAGGTTCTCAGAGGGTAGATGGGGGGTGAACCAAGTACCTTGGGTGTATGGACAGAGAGCCCCAAGTAGGAGAGACCAAAAAAGGAAGACAGAACAGCTGGGGACGTCTGAATTTGCTTCGCCAGCCAGTCTGGAGTGTTGGTAAATGACAAGGTTTGATTCGTTTCTTTTAGACTGAAGGGCGAATAATGTGTCTTGCCAGGGAAATAGCCCCCTCGGGTATGTCAAGCAGAGGAAAATTTAATGCTGGACATTGGATGTAAAGGTTTTGGAAGAGCTGGATGATTAAAAAGAGAAAAGGGAGTTTTACCTAGAAATGGGGCTACAGGCCACCTGCAGCCACCTATAATCATTTGTGGTCACCTGCCATGGCCAGGGCCTGAAACAGAATAATTTCTCCCTTCCTGCCACTTTGTAATCTCCAACCTATGAAATCCATTGGCAAAATCTAACTGTAACTGGAGCACCTGCCTGGCTCAGTTGGCAGAGCATGCAATTCTTGATTTCAGGGTCATGAGTTCAAGCCCCACCTTGGGTGTAGAGACTACTGAGAGAAATTGTTAAAAAAAAAAAAATCTTAACTGTACCCTAGGTCACAAAGAAGCCTGCAATATGTAATTATCAGGCACCCAGCCCCCTGAAATTCAGAGGAGAGCTTGTAAGGGCGGGGAAGCAATTACTAACATGTAAATTCAGCATAAAGACATCCAGATAGTCTTCTGTTACGTAAGCCTCCTCGTGCTGGGCTGTTACATCGTCTCTGTCTCTTGAGCTGTCTCTGGCTCTCCTCCCTCTCATATTTTCAATCTCAGATCATCAGGAGGAATTCAACGCCACATCTCCCATCTCCCTGCTTCCTACCTCTAGCTCCTCTTGTACAGCATCACCTTTTTCCAAACAAAAAAGATTGTTTTTATTCACTGAAGTTAAGGAGACCTAATAAAAAGTGCACTTAAGTGCTCAGCTTATTGGCCAAGTGGATAACAAGATGGGACTCAACTATAGACCATAATAGGGGCGGCTGGGTGGCTCAGCGGTTGAGCATCAGCCTTTGGCCCAGGGCGTGATCCCAGGGTCCAGGATCGAGTCCCATATCGGGCTCCCTGTGTGGAGCCTGCTTTTCCCTCTGCCTGTGTCTCTGCTTCTCTCTGTGTCTCTCATAAATAAATAAATAAAATCTTAAAAAAAACACAAAAAACTATAGACTATAATAAACTCACTTCCAATGTAAAGAAAGAGGCACCCTGAAAGTAAAAAGGATGAAGAAAAAAGATACATTATGCAAACATTAATCAAAAGAAAGTAAGAGAGGGGGCTCAGTCTGCTAAGTGTCTGTTTTTGACTCAGGTCATGATCCTAGGGTCCTGGGATCGAGTCCAGCAGGAGGCTCCCTGCTCAGCAGGGTGTCTGCTTCTCTCTCACCCTATTGCTTATGGGCTCTCTCTTTTTCTCTCTGTCAAATAAATAAATATTAAAAAAAATAAGTAGAAGAGGCTTTTTCTTTTTTTCCTAAAGATTTTATTTTTTTAAGGAATCTCTACACCTAATGTGGGGCTGGAACCCACAACCCTGAGATCCAGAGCTGCATGCTCCACCAACTGAGCCAGCCAGGTGCTGCAGGAATGGCAATCTTAATAGCAGCTAAAGTTGACTTCAGGGCAAAGAAAGTTGTCTTTCTATATACATTTTAGATTTAGCAGTTCAGAGGGAGAAACAGAGCAGGCTCAGTATTTTTTGTTTTGTTTTGGAAATTGGCTCTTGAGTATGAAAAGGGAAGGCCCAAGGTAAGCAGGCAGTGATGCCAAGATGATGTCTTGGAAGGAGACTAGAGGGACAGTAAGACTGCCAGGAGGGTCACCTGATCTGGGAGGTGGAGAAGCTGGGTGGGGAGGGAGAGAACAGGCACAAGAGGGTGGGCAGCTTTCAGAGGCATCTCTGACAACCTGGGGCCCTAGATCAGCAGAGCCAGTGCAGACAACCATCCAATACCCTCCCAGCAAGTGACCGGGACTACTCTTGAGTGATCTCTCGGGGCAGATCCCTGCTCTCTTTGTCAACAGTCCAGGACACTCCCAATAATACTCGCTTGAAGCAGAAGGGATCAAGAAGTAGTAATGCCATAAAGGCCTAGCCCCCTCCCCCCCAAAAAAAGGGATGCCTGAGTGGCTCAGTGGTTGAGCATCTGTCTTCGGCTTAGGGCGTGATCCTGGGATCCGGGCTCGAGTCCCGCATCAGGCTTCTTGTGGGAAGCCTGCCTGTGTCTCCGCCTCTCCCTCTGTGTGTCTCTCATGAATAAATAAATAAAATCTTAAAAAAAAAAAAAAAGGACTAGCCTCCATTCTGGAAGTATTAGAAATGGGGATGGTGGAGGCCCATACTGTCTCACCCAGAACCTTCTCAACAACCAGTGCACCCATCCCCTGACTGAGGGGAGCATTGGCTGCTAACAGCTTGCAACTCCCCCCATGTACTATTCTTGGCTAAATGCGAGCTGTCTGACAGGGGTTACGTGTTCCATCCCGCTTTGGTAGCCTGTGACCAAGGACTGACTGGCATGGAGGTATTAGAACTTTCTCCTTGCCATTGAGAGGGTCCAACGGTGGTGGCCCAAGCTCCAGAGCTCCATGCTGGGATCATTCTCTGCCCCTTCCCCTGCCCTGTTCTGCCTCCTTCACTGCTTTTCTTCTAGAGAAGACTTGCACATGCACCCAAATCCCCATTCTAGCTCTGTTCCAGGGAATCCTGCCTAAGAGAAGGGGCTCATGGCAAGGGCTGAATAAGCGCGGGATCTAACGGCAGCGTAGCCCCCTCACACTGTAGCAGAAGAGGCCTCGCTGGGGGGTTCTTCCTCCTGCTCTGGCAGCCCCCACTCCGCACATCCATACCCACAGGCACGCACGCAGGCTCATACAGCTACCTGCAGCACCCCCCTCCCCTGTCTCCCACTGAGCGGCTCCCCCAAGGAAGCAGGTTTGAAGGAATTCTGTCAACCTTGAGACTTCATTATGAGCTTTTGGGTGAGATCAAGAGAGGGGATGTCCCTGCCTCACTCAACAAGAGGTTTGAGAGATGCCCAGCAAGCAGCATCTCAGTACCTGCTCCTGGCCTGGCCTGACCCTGGGACCTTGGAGGACTTCACGCTGTGGACCAGGCCAGGGCACCATTGACACGCCTGCCAAGCTTGGGCCTGCCCAGCAGCCACTCCACCACATTCCACCCGGCAGCCACAGTTTGTCTTGGCAAGGTGGCCCTCTGGGCTAGGCTCCAAGGACGGCGTAGGGAGCAGCCCCAGACAAATCAGCTTTTACCACAGAAGCCAAAGCTGGCTGGGCTTGAGTCCATGCCAGCCCCAAAGTGGCCTGACCCTCCTCCACCCACCTGAAGGTAAACTCAGACTCTGGGCGAATGGTGGATGTGTGGAGAGGAGCCAGGCTCCCAGGTGAGTGGAACCCCAAGAGTGGCAACAGGGACTGGGACCCGGGCCAGAGGGCTTCCCTGGACTCACGGGATGGTTGCCTGACTGCGGAATGTCCCTTGGCCACAGTGCCGGGCAGCACTTTACAACTTTGCCAATGGGATGCATCCATGCTTCCCCTCTCCCGGGGACTCAGGAACTTCCCCCAGCTCCCCGGGAGCCCTGGCAGCCCAGGCTGAGGGGCCCACTGCACAGCCAGGGATGCATCAGGAGCGGCTTTCATTCCCAGGCTGGCAGGGGATGGGGAAGGAAAGGCTTAAAAGAAACAAGATGTCAGGATGCTAGTCCCCAAAGAACAACAGACCTGGTAAGACATTTTTGCTTCCCCTTTTAAACATGACTCCTCCTCTCTCAAGGAATAAAATTACCTAAAGATTGTGAAAAAAAAAAAAAAAAAAGAATGTGAAAAAAAAAAAAAAAAGAAGAAGTCTAGTTTCTGTTATTGTCCTGCTGAGAAGCCTCTTCTACATCTTTAGTCAGGAAACCTTTTCCATTCTGTGTCCAGTAGGGGGTCTGTGCACTCAGAACCCTCCCATCATACCCCTGGGCAGTCCTTGCAGCTCCAAACCCAGAAAAACCCTCAACCCCCCAGGGGTGCCATTCCGCTCCCCTGTTAAGGCTTCTGGCAAGGCAGGGAGGTTTGGACACCTTTCCCTTTGGGAAGTAAGTGGAGGCAAGTTCTGGACAGACAGCTCACAGTACGCTTCTGGAACTCCAATACAGGGGACCCAGAGCCAAGAGTCCAGCTGAGGAGAGACAGGATTTAGAGTTGAGATAGAATGACTTAGTGAGACATTACTTTGTATTTGTTATTGTGTTTGCAACCCTGCTCCCAGAAGGTAGCATGGAAGGTGGTCTGCGGGGTCTCTGCATTTTGTTTCCCAGAAGCCTAACTTCCTGAGAAGTGGGGAGGGTGAGGACCAATGTGTGCCTTCTTGGAGAATAGGAGAGAGAGGGAGAGAGACTGAGGGAGAGAGATATTGAGAGAAAGGGGGCATGGATTACCTGTTAACAAATGGTATCTCCTGGGCAAATGATAGGAGTTTACCATTAAACACATAATTAGACAGTTAATGTGATGGTTTAACATTAGACACA